GAAAATAACTGTGTTTGTCTGATAAGAAAGGCTGTTACGAAAATGTATTCCACAATAACCTGTTATTCTTCAAAGTGCTGTGAGGTAAGACTTTTTGGTGGGTGTGTTTGCTGCAAAGGACTAATGTAGGTAGTCTTCTGGAACTTGTCAGGAGAGGGGGTAATACTGCTTTCAGTATAGTAAATATACTTGCAAATAACAAATATCTAGGGACTTAAACATGTGGAAATATTTCCCAGAAAAAGTGAGAAGTATTTTGTAGTCCGTTATCAATTTCTAATGACTTGATCATTTTTCAGTAACGTGGCTAATTTTCATTTCTAGAAGTTTGTAATTTGGACCTGTAGAAAGGAGCAGCCTGGAAAAATGATTAAAGTGTTCAGTGATGAAGCTTGAAAGTCTGGTTAAATGTTTGCAGTTGGTCAAAATCAACTTCATCAATATTATTTAGGTTGTCAATTCTATATTGGAGGTAGTAATTATAAAGCATTTTGTGTGCTGAAGAGACTAATAGGGCGCTAGTGCGTTTCAGCATTCATGAAATCCGACTGAAATATTGTGTGCTTTTAAAGAAAGATGAGGGCATTGAATAAATTCAGCAAACAGTTGTAAGGGAGATAGAAAGTACGAAGGAAAGGCTAAAAGAATTGTGCATTTGATTCCAAGGAAAAGGTTCACAACTTGTATGTTGAGAATTTTCATTATTCAAGAGGAAGAATGATTTCTTGTCTTGTGGTAATACAGGAAAATAGCAGTTTTAATACAGTAAAAAGATGCTGGCAAACAGTGTGAGCAACATGCTGAAAACCAGTTCAGCAATGAGGAAATCTACTTAGGGGAAGCTTTGGAAAGAGTATGTTAGACTTGTCTTTTCAGTCTGCTGGTCATTCTACGTGACTGCTGTTCATTTTTCAGCTGTTTTCATTTTCCTGACTGTAGTTTCAATCACCTTCCCATTACCCTGTTTTCCCAGTTACCCTACCTGTGTAGTAATTTCAGGAACTATCTAATCATAATTTTTGTGCATAGAAGTTCATATGGTTGCAAACAAATAATAAGCTATTAGAATTATGGTTGATTGAGTATGTGTTGGGCAAAAATATACAAGAATGGACACTGGGTCTCCCCCCCCCCTCAGGGCCAATATCACTTAAAACTTTTAATTCACTTTTTATGAATCTTCATATACAACATGTTTATATAATTCTAAACCTGGATGTAAAGTGCAGATCAAAAACATCCTTGTAATGAGACTCTTGGAACAAGGAGCGTGTTTTCAGAAAAATCTGATAACTAGGAGCATTCTTAGGGGGAGTTGAAAACCCTGGAAAAGTAAAATGCAATGTCTGTGCTTGACTAGAGAGAGCAAAAATATGGCTGAGTGGCATTTTCGTTTGCCAGAGAAAGGGGGTAGAGGAAATAGGGGCTGGAAGGGGAGGGGAAGATTAGGGGCCTTTCAGCCCCCAAGCTAGTCCCAGTTAGTAAAATTTCTGGGAATTATCTGGTTGGTGGGATCTTGGACTGGCCTGGGTCAGAAACCACATTTGGTATATGTTTTCACCTCCAAGTCACCCCCGTCCACTGGAGGGGGGGTCATTGGGAGTGGTTTAGGGTTGGGCAGTATGGAAGAAAATCCCCGACAAGAGTGTTGGAGATACAGCCAAGGGGCAGAAATGGGGGCCAGTGACATTTCCTTTGTTTCCCACAAGTCCACATGGGTCTTCCACTTTCTCTCTGTATGTGTATCTGTATAGGACAAAATATGCATAGAACAAAATTAAATTTTCATAGTTTTCCACAGTGTAAGGGTAACACAAAGTGTTAGGCTTGCTAGTAGTTCTTGGAAAACAACATTATTGCTTTGTTTGGGAATTATTATTAACATTTTGACTTAATATTGACCCTGTTTCCATGCCATTTTCTTGGTCTATGAACCTCTGGCAAGTAGAGTTTGACTTAACTTTCTAGTGAATTTTTTGAGGACAGAATTGGCAGCAATGCAAATATTTAAGATTTACTTCTAAGAATTTCTTGTAACTTGATAATTGGGTACAAGCAGGCGATAATGGTGTTTAACATTCCATTACTATGTTGCTTTTGTGTTACTTTTCCCTTTGAAGTGTGTGTATTGTATTCACTGACCAAATGTCTTTAATGCTGGAAGTATCAGTCCTGTCTGTGGCCATTTTTGCACAGATTATCTGTCCCAAATTCAATGCTTTTGGTGAGTTATTCTCTTGGTTCCCCGCAGCATCATGGTGCATTAATGCACCAGTGGTGGTTTCCTAGCTTTTCTCTGATCTTTCTCAAATCTGCTTTGTTCACAAGTTTTGGGAAAGATCACAGTAAAGCCTGACTGCTGCGCGGATGTGAAAATTCAGATTTTCTGGCCCACGTGGCAGTCATTTTCTTGGATCCTGTTCCCGTGGTAGCCATTTCCTCCT